AGGAGGATGTGTTCATCCAAGATGACACTCGGTCCGGCAGGGGAGACGCGAGTGTCCGATCATCTGGTCCAGAGTTGTCCTGGGTACACGGTTGTCAGCATTTGACAGATGGACGTTCTCGCCTTAACTTGACTCAGAAATCGATGACTCTGGGTAGAGTTTTCGTTAGCTGGTTACAGTTTTGTTTATTCTTAGCTATCCTGGTCGGCGTGACTGGAACAGCAGGTGGAGAATTTAGGGACGGCCATTCCCTTCCTCCGTGGTGTTGGTTCAAGAACTGACTGAAGCTGGTGATGGTTACAGTTTTACCAAAAGCTCTCAGGACACTCCCACTCTCTCAGCAAGAAAGCTTTGATCATGCATCAAAAACATGTGTTGCAGTTATCGTTTATCTGGACTCTGTGTTAGCTGGATAAGGTGAACTGACCTTCTGCTGAACACATATTTTACTGTCATCAACCATAATCATTATTATTATTATTATACCCAAAGCATAAATTCATTTCACATAATTAACCCTCTGATGCATGAATTATGAGATCTTCAACCATGATTTTTTTAAACAAATTTTTTCATTCATCTTTAGGTGTGAATTAAACAAATTTCAACAAACATTTTTGTAACATTTTGTTAATTTACAAATACTTTATTACATGTCTATCTCAGTGGACAGCGTGCATTCTGAACATGAAATATGTTGGCTTGCCTTACTGAAGTCCAACTGGAGAGGCTCACATGCAATAAAGTCTTCAGCAGCTGTGCTTAATAGCAAAAATAAATAAATAACAATGTTGAGTACCTGTCCACTGCAGTGACCATTATGCATCAAAGGGTTAAAATACCTTCATACTGAACCAAGTGATCATTTATGAGATTATATTAAACAGTAATAACATCAATGAGTTGTATTAATTATTGTTATCTAATTATTATCATCGTGACTTGAAGTGTCCTCCTGGGATGGAACAGCAGCAGATATGGATATGATCTTGAGCAGACATCGCAGCTCCTTGGGTTAATCTGTGGATTTAAAAGTACTGTTTGACCCAGCTTGACCCAGCTGGGTAGATGTGCCCTTTGCCACAAATTAGAGGACCTTCGGTGACGCTACACTTTGCACATACATTTCAAAATAGTATGATCTACTAGGTTGTAAATTTTTAATGTTTTGAATTTGACAAATAATTGGCTGGATGTCTCTGTAATTGCTTCTTTTTATAATTCTTATTGCTTTTTTTTTTTTTTGTAGGATAAAAACTGAATGTGTATTATTAAGTTAGTACGGTATATGAGAGATCAGGCAGCCTCACTTGCTGGAGAAAGCCTGCATCATCCATGTTTGGACCAGGACGGGGACGAGGACGACCAAGGACCGTAATCTCTGATGAGAGCCGAGCCACTTTGATTGATCATGTGGTCAACCATGGTCTGAGGCTGGGCAAAGAGTACAGCCAAATTTGAGCAGGTACACTGTAGCATCCATCATCCAGACTTTCCGAACTGAGAATAGGTAAGAAATCTTCTCTCACTAGAAAATGGCTGTACTGCATATCAATACAATCAGTATTCAATGAGTATAGTAGAAGTATTGCCTGTGGACTGCCTGTGGACTGTTTTGTTGGACAGTAAAAATACTGTAAAGTATGTTTCCAGTATTTAGGAAATGTATACCTACTTTGTATTCACAGTATTTTACTATTTGTTTGGCAGAACTGAAAGATTACTGAAACGAGGTGGTCGGGAACGTCTTCAGTCTCCTGAACAGGAAACTGAAATCCTCATCATGGTCCTAGAAAACAATGCCATAACATTATGGCAAATCCAAAGAAAAATGATAGAAAACAACGCGTTTCAAAATATTGATAGGGTCAGCTTATCAACACTGGACCATGTCTTGTGCAGATATCATCTCAGGATGAAGCAGGTCTACAGGGTGCCATTTGAGCGCAATTCAGAAAGAGTCAAAGAATTGCGATATAACTGTGTGCAAGTCCCGCAATTGATGCATACACTCAACACTGTATACAGTAAATTATACATATTTCAATATTATAATCATAATGACTGTGCTTCACAATAGTGACCACTCCATGTATTTGTGTGTTCAGAGTGTAAAAACAATATTCTGAAATATTTTACAAGGCATGCATGTATATACTGTCGTAACTGTAACACTGAAGTGTAACAAGTCCTCCAAACACACCCACATCACCCCGCTTCTCCTCCAGCTTCACTGGCTGCCAGTCAACGTCAGGGTTAATTTCAAGATCCTGGTTCTGGTCTATAGGGCCTTACATGGACAAGCACCATCTTACATTGGTGATCTTCTTAGGCCTAGTCCACACGTAGCCGGGTTTTTTTTAAAAACTAATATCCACCCCTCCAAAAACTTGCATCCACACCACCTCGTTTTTAAAAAAAACTCTGTCCACACGTACCCGGATAAATACGTTGTTAAGGACATGCCAGACCTGTAGGGGGCAGTACTTCCCCCGTTCTTAACCTCGTCCTTCGTCTGTGGTCTTCCGCAAGGAGCAGTAATTCCGCTTGCAAAAACAAACAAGCAAAAAGCGCTTGGACAATTGATAAAGCGAGCGCAGCTCTGAGGGCATCCATGCTGTCGGCTAGTGTAAACACAGGTCGCACACGTGATGTCAGCATTTTTTTGTCGTGGAAAGTGATGTCGCGGACCTTAAAACTCCGGTTTTGTCTGTCCACACGCAGACACCCAAAACGGAGAAAACGCAGATCTTCACTTTGGCCGGAGTTTTTAAAAAGATCCGTTTTCATGTGGGTGACAGGCCAAAACGTAGAAAAATATCTACGGCTACGTGTAAATGGTAAATGGTAAATGGCCTGTATTTGATATAGCGCCTTCCAGAGTTCTTGAAACCCCCCCAAGGCGCTTTACAACACAATCAGTCATTCACCCATTCACACACACATTCACACACTGGTGGGGATGAGCTACGATGTAGCCACAGCTGCCCTGGGGCGCACTGACAGAGGCGAGGCTGCCGAGCACTGGCGCCACCAGTCCCTCCGACCACCACCAGCAGGCAACGTGGGTTAAGTGTCTTGCCCAAGGACACAACGACAGTGACAGACTGAGCGGGGCTCGAACCTGCAACCTTCCGATTACGGGGCGAGCACTTAACTCCTGTGCCACCATCGCCTTAGTCCCAACACCCCCAGCAGGCCCCTGAGGTCCAGTGATCAAAGCCTACTGGTTGTGCAGCACCAGGCTAAAGACCAAAGGTGACAGATCATCTGCTGCTGTGGCCCCCAGACTCTGGAACTCTCTCCCCCTGAGCCTGAGATCAGTGGACTCAGTGGTCTCCTTTAAAAAGCAGCTGAAGACTCACTTGTTCAAGCTGGCTTTTGTATGACCTTCTTCACCTCTCTCTCTTTATTCTGCTCTCCCCACCTATTCCACCTTCCTCAGGATCCACTGATTTCCCTCTTTCCTGTTCACTCTCTCTCTTTCTTAACATTTTTCTTTTAAATCCCAATTGCCTATTTTTGCTCATTTTAAATATATTTTTAAACATTTTCTAAATGCTTTTTTATATTTTTACATCGTTTTGTTTTTGTGAAGCGCCTCGTGATTTTTATCTTGAGAGGCGCTGTAGAAATCATACTTTCTTCTTCTTCTGAACCAAAAAGCCTTAAAGTCATTATGATGAATGGAGAAGACGTGTTTTCCATTCATCATAGTGTTTTACATTAAGCACATAAGTGTTCTGCTGGTTCTTATAAATGCCTGTTCGTATGATGGTTTGTGTGTCATTTGACAACAAAATCACATTGTGAGGAGAAATAACATTGTTTTGAATGTAAAGTTTCATTTTGCAGGTTAATTGAGGGGGTTTGCTCATTGTGTGTTTTTTTGGATTTGTGTGTAGAGTTCTGAGAATATGAGGCATGCTCTCAGAAAATGTGTGTAATCAATTGAGAAAAACTGTAATAATAATATAGATATATACAGATAGTAATAACTATTACAAGTTCAAATAAATATATAAGAAAATATGTGTCATTAAATTAAAAGAGTAAGTAATAAAAGATGGTTAAAAACAGGCTAAAATAGATCAAAATCAATTAAAAGCTACACTAAAAAGGTGAGTCTTGAACCTGGCCTAAAAAACAAGAACACTCTCTACGGCCCTGAGGTCCTCTGGCAGACTGTTCCAGAGGCGAGGGCCATAAAACTGGAAGGATGCCTCGCCTTGGGAGTGTGTCCTGACTTTTGGAATGATGAGGAGATGGCTGCCAGAGGAGCGCAGGGACCGCGAAGGCTCGTGTTTATGAAGCAGTTCTGAGAGATAAGCAGGCTCAAGACCATTAAGACATTTAACATACAGTGTATGTCTGTTGTGGTGAGTGTAATCTCTTGGGCCACCACGTGTTGGGGTAGCAGCATCAGAACCAGGGACATAAAGGCTCAACAACTTGATAAAAATTGTCTGGTTTCGTTCTGGCCTGATGACCACTATGGAACCACTGGAGATCATGGTGCAAAGTAGAAGTCTTCATAAAATTTAAAAAATGATGGACAATCGTCCATTCTTCATGACCCCATCATGCAACAACAGAGCATCTTCTGTTGGAGGCTTCTTCAGACCTGCTATATTACAGACCGCAACAGGAAATCCTTCTTGCCTATGGCCATCAGCACCACTGTTTGGGATTATTAATTAATATACGATCATTAATGTTTTATTATCTTTGTTGTTGCTTACAACACTTACTTCGCCTCAGGGATTATTAGTTAGTTTCATTTAAATTATTCTTCTGTTGTTTACAGCACCACTTCTTGAAACCTTGAGACCCACTTCGATGCAGATTTTCTTGTATTTGTTTGCGGGCAGACAGCGACCTCTGGTGGCCTTGTTGAGAACAGGCTGCTGCCAACCTGCAGTGAGCAGAATCCACCAGCAGGTGTCGCTGTAGCGCCGCTAACACCTCGGGTCACTGGCAGCAGAAACGGACTGGACCGCCATCTTTGTCGGGAACATAAACAACAGCAGCCAGTCGCGTTGGCGTCTGGGCGGACCGCTGTTGTCTCACGGACTACGACTACCCGTCTCCCCGCCACGGTGCTCCTAATTTCAGCCGAGGATGATGCCACCTGCCCTGGTAACCTGAGAGAGCGCGTGAGAAGGTAAAGGCGGCTGTATTATTGTGCGAGCTTGATGCCATGACAACGTTTCGGCTTTCCCAGGTTCACTGTGGGGCGATTTAAACGTCAATATCTGACGCGATTAGTGTGAAAATAACGCTCACTTCAGTATGGAAGCGTGTGTGTTTACGCGCTGGCGGTGTGTGCGGACGTGGCTGCGTCATGCTAACTGTTAGGGCTGTCACCTGTCCTGAAGACAAGCGTGTTTATTTCTGTTTGTTGTTTTTTTCTTCCAGCAATGGGGGTCTGCGGATTTGCACACCGGGAAGGAGCGGAGGTGTAGAGGGGGGCGGGGAGGGCAGCAGAGGGGCCTGTGGGTCCTGAAGAGATGGACCAGGAGTACGAGAGAAGGCTGCTGAGGCAGATCAACCACCAGAACCTGCCGACAGAAAGCCGCCTGACTAAGGTGAGCAGCTTGTCCTGTCCCCCCCCACAGGTGTCTGATCTAATACCGACCAGAACCGCCTCTGACATGAGCTACACTGCTGTTGCATCCACCCCAGGGTCTCGGAGCCGCCTGCAGCCCCGTCGCTGTGAAGTCAGGAGACAGATACATTCCCACCAGAGCAGGAAGCAACTGGAGCATCAACTTCCACTACGCCAATGTGAGCTGGTTAGATTCTGCTGTCCATGTGCTGGCGGAGACACGCCCCTTTCAGATCCGTTTCGTTTCTGTTTCCCACTTAACTCCTCTCAGGCTCAAAATAAGTTTTGGTGAAAGGACAGACAACTGAGTCCTTCAGGGGAACTTCTGAGTTTAAAAAATGCTCATGAAACACGTATGTGGAGTAACCAGGTAGGTAGGTTTTAACGTTGCAAATCCGCAACGCCCGCCTCCAGAGGGTTAACCGTCCATGTTTATGGCTGACCCACATTCTCACAGGTTAAAAACTTGTCCAAACCACCCTGGCTTCGTGTGTAACTGACTCCTACGCCTACTAGCTAGCTGTTCCACCCACTCTCGTTCCTCTGGAGGAGTTTTGTCCCACTCCTCTCTTCAGAATCGCCAGAGTTCAGACATATCAGAGGGTTCTCCAGCAGGAACGGCCTAGGAAGCTCTCCTTCAGAATTTTCTGCTGGAGAGCAGCAAGTGGTGCAGGTCCTGAAACATCAGATCAGCCCCAGACTATCACACTTCCGCCACCATGTTTTAGTGTTGGTTTGACTCCAGATGGAATGGGACACGCACCTAACAGAACATTCTACCTGGTCTCATCAGTCCAGAGGAGATTTAACCAGGGTGCTTGTAGGTTAAGGTGCCATTTGTAAAAACGTGAGGTGTCCTTTGTTGGGTTTTTTGGGCCAGCGGAGGCATTGATCTTGGATCTCTCCCATCTCTCTCGCCCCATTGTTAAAATGTGACCTCTGACCTTAATCTGATCAGAAGAGGCCTGCAGGGCTTTAGATGTTTTGGGTTCTTTGCTCTTGAGTCTCTGTAGATGTGTTGCTCTTGAAGGGATTAGTGAGTCCTACAGGTGGTGATCAGGTCTGCAGAAACTCAACCAGCTGTGCTATTCGTGTGTTTAACAAAGGTCGTAGCTACTGATTCACTCAGGACCAGGTTGGTTTGGATGGTTTCTACACAAACACTTGGAGCCACCACATCAGACCAGGGGGGTGTTTCAGAAAGCGAGATTAGAACATCGGGGCTTTCCTGATAAATCCCTACTTGACCAAGCGCTCCCTTCCCTCCTGGTTTCGCCGGTTCCACGAACAATTCTCAGGTGGATTCAATCCCCTCTAATCCAAGGGAGGCGAGGCAGGCTAGGCTCATGCACGTCCATAGGCAGCCCCTATTAATCGATGCTAGATAAATGAGAATGGAAGGGATGGGCAGAGCATCGTTCTTCATCCAGACGGAGCAGCAATGATTCATTCATGCCTGTGAGGACTACAAAGATATCAGAACTAAAATAGAGACCATGAGCTGTTTGAATAAAGCTGTGTAGCCGGCGCTATTTATTTAGAACGCTCAGTTTCCATGGCAACGCCGAAGTCCGCTTCGCTTCTTGTTTCTCCACATTTTTTATTAAAGTTTTCATCATTTTTGTGTCGTTTTCGTGTTCTGCTCCAGAGTCTGGATGTTTACAGACTAGAGGACTTTGTTTTTGCTGAGCAGCTGTGAGTTCTAAGAATATACGTTTGTGGTGGTCACGTGACTCTAAAGTTAAAGAGCAAGTCACCCCCTACCAGAGTATTACTCCACCCCCAATTCCTGTTTGAAAAATGCAACAAATGCTGTTGCCTAGCAGACCGAGAGGGCGGAGCCACTAACAAATACACACACACACACACACACACAGGCTCACAACGACATTGTGACATCATATGGTACCAGCTAACGTTCTAGGGTACCTCTTAGCCAATAGCGATGGCAGATTTTAATTCAAATGCAGTGCAGAGTTTTTACCTGACGACGGTGCAACACTGACAGTTTTAGGCAGAAAATTAACATTTGAACTAAGATACACTAAAGTGCAAAACTGTTGACTACACGTGTCTGCAGCACGATCAGACACGCATTTATATAGTTTATCAGAAAAAATGTTGATTTGGGGGTGACTTGCTCTTTAAGTCTGGAAACCGTTTAGCTGTCATATTACACACCAATGACGAAACGTCACGTATGTCAGTTACATCAAATGTTAGCGTGTGATAGGGTTGGGCACCGGAACTGTTCGTTTTTCCCGGAATTGTTCAAAGTTTTTTTTCCGATTCCTAGTGTGCCGACAGAAGAGGAATCCGCGGCCGATCTCCGTGAAAAATAAACGTGATCTGCAAATTGTGATCAACGCTTCTCAGAGCTGATCACACCAACTGTCTGTGTGCAGCACCGAGTCCCCCCTCCCTCCCCGTCTTGAAAGAATCGGAATCGGGAATCGATAGGAACTGGAATCGAAACGAGGAATTGGAATCGGAATCGTTCAAAATCAAGCGATGCCCAACCCTAGCATTTGACCAGAGTAAATATGTAGTCCCATCAATAAAGTATTTTACATTTGTGTTATGCTAGCAGCCGTGAGGTAGTTTAAGGCTGTTTAATATATTAATGAAGAAGACTGCATGTTGGGTCCATCCCAGACAAAAGCTGATATATAATTGTACTTATTAATAATGCTGACATCAGGAGCAACATCAGTGGAGCGAAAAGCTCCTGGCTGCAAATGAGGATTAAACACAACAAAAGTTTAAATGTAAATCTAATTAAAAGTTTAAACTCCACATTTATTAATAATTTAGCCATCAAGAACAAAGCTGCAGCTGCTGCTACGGCCGTGGGCCAGCGGTGTCGCTAATTGACCACCTCGTAGCTGCCAGCCACCGACTAGAAAAAGGTGACATCACTTGCCTCGTCCAGTCCTCTTCACAAAGCATCAGTAAGCCTAGCTGCTAGCCTGCCACGGTGCAGGTTTGTTATCCAGCATGTGTTACCATGGTGACTGGGAGTGCTTCCAGGCTAGACACGTTCATAGAACCGATTTAGGGGTGGTTACACCGGGAATCTGGTTTTGGGAAAATATCGCTTTCTGGAGTACCCCCTGGGCTATTCGGGAGGACCTATGCCTGTATGTGTTGTGTTTCTCTGCCCCAACACACCTGGTTTGAATCTTTGGAGGAGAAACAGGCTTCTGAAGCCCTTGAGAACCAGTTGAAATTGATTTAATCACTGAATCAGGTGGTTGGAGCAGGAGAAGAGCTGAAATGTGCTGGGCAGCCGTCCTCCAGGACCCTGATCCAGACATGTCCACAGCTGATGCAGCCTTCTCCTCATCCTCCACAGGAGAACTGCCGCTCTCCTGCTCAGACCCATAAAGCCAAGGATGCTAGCTCAGACTCCAGTAAAGGTAATGTCTCACCTGTCCTGCTCAGGTGCTTTTAGCAGCGTGGTTGTCTGTAACTCTGCCTCTGTCCCGCCCAGATGCCGTGGCGTACGCCGCCCTCCTGAGGAACGAGCTGCTTGGAGCGGGGATGGAGACGGTGGCGGATCCTCACGCTGACGACCGGCGACATGCGGTCCTCGCTCAGGACTCTCACAGCCTTTTTAGGGTACCGTCATAAGAAATACTCATCCATTCATCCGTCCATCCGTCCATTCATCCATCCATCCGTGCATCTATCCGTCCGTCCATCCGTCCATCCATCCATCCATTCGTCCAACCATCCATCCCTCTGTCCATCCGTTCGTCCATCCATCCACCTGTCCATCCATCCATCCCTCTGTCCATCCGTCCCTCTGTCCATCCATCCGTCCATCTATCCGTTCGTCCATCCATCCACATGTCCATCCATCCATCTGTCCATCCATCTGTCCATCCATCCGTTCATCCATCCGTCCGTCCACCTATCCATCCGTCCGTCCATCTATCCATCCATCCGTTCGTCTGTCCATCCACCCGTCCATCCATCTGTCCATCCACCCGTCCGTCCATCCATCCGTCCATTCATCCATCCGTCCATCTATCCGTCCGTCCATCCGTCCATCCATCCATCCATTCGTCCAACCATCCATCCCTCTGTCCATCCGTTCGTCCATCCATCCACCTGTCCATCCATCCATCCCTCTGTCCATCCATCCATCTGTCCATCCATCTATCCATTTGTCCATCCATCCACCTGTCCATCCATCCATCTGTCCATCTATCTATCCATTCGTCCATCCACCCGTCCATCCATCCGTCCATCCATCTGTCCATCCGTCCATCCATCCGTTCGTCCAACCATCCACCTGTCCATCCATCCATCTGTCCATCTATCTATCCATTCGTCCATCCACCCGTCCCTCCATCCGTCCGTCCATCCATCCGTTCGTCCATCCATCCACCCGTCCATCTATCCATCCGTCCGTCCATCAATCCATCCGTCCGTCCATCTGTCCATCCGTCCATCCAGCCCTTCGTCCATCCATCCACCCGTCCATCCGTCCGTCCATCTATCCATCCGTCTGTCCATCCACCCGTCCATCCGTTCGTCCATCCATTCGTCCAACCATCCACCTGTCCATCCGTCCATCCATCCGTCCATCTATCTATCCATCCGTCCCTCTGTCCATCCGTCCATCCATCTGTCCATCTATCTATCCATTCGTCCATCCATCCACCCATCCGTCCATCCATCTGTCCATCCGTCCATCCAGCCCTTCGTCCATCCATCCACCCATCCATCCGTCCGTCCATCTATCCATCCGTCTGTCCATCCACCCGTCCATCCGTCCGTCCATCCGTCCGTCCATCTATCCACCTGTCCATCCGTCCGTCCATTCGTCCAACCATCCACCTGTCCATCCATCCATCCCTCTGTCCATCCGTTCATCCATCCATCCACCTGTCCATCCATCCGTCCCTCTGTCCATCCATCCATCTATCTATCCATTTGTCCATCCATCCACCTGTCCATCCATCTGTCCATCTATCCGTTCGTCCATCCATCCATCTGTCCATCTATCTATCTATTCGTCCATCCACCCGTCCCTCCATCCATCCGTCCATCCATCCGTCTGTCCATCCGTCCATCCATCCGTTCGTCCATCCATCCACCCGTCCATCTATCCATCCGTCCGTCCATCTGTCCATCCATCCATTCGTCCAACCATCCACCTGTCCATCCGTCCATCCATCCGTCCATCCGTTCGTCCATCCATCCACCCGTCCATCTATCCATCCGTCCGTCCATCTGTCCATCCATCCATTCGTCCAACCATCCACCTGTCCATCCGTCCATCCATCTGTCCATCTATCTATCCATTCGTCCATCCATCCACCCGTCCGTCCATCCATCTGTCCATCCGTCCATCCAGCCATTCGTCCATCCATCCACCCGTCCATCCGTCCGTTCATCTATCCATCCGTCTGTCCATCCACCCGTCCATCCATCCGTCCATCCATCCGTTCGTCCATCCATCCATCTGTCCATCTATCTATCCATTCGTCCATCCACCCGTCCCTCCATCCGTCCGTCCATCCATCCGTCTGTCCATCCGTCCATCCATCCGTTCGTCCATCCATCCACCCGTCCATCTATCCATCCGTCCGTCCATCTGTCCATCCATCCATTCGTCCAACCATCCACCTGTCCATCCGTCCATCCATCCGTCCATCTGTCCATCCGTTCGTCCAACCATCCACCTGTCCATCCGTCCATCCATCTGTCCATCTATCTATCCATTCGTCCATCCATCCACCCGTCCGTCCATCCATCTGTCCATCCGTCCATCCAGCCATTCGTCCATCCATCCACCCGTCCATCCGTCCGTCCATCCATCCACCCGTCCATCCATCCGTCCATCTATCTATCCATCCGTCCATCCGTTCGTCCAACCATCCACCTGTCCAACCATCCACCTGTCCAACCATCCGTCCATCCATCCGTCCCATCTATCCATCCATCTGTCCATCCGTCCATCCATCATCAAGTCCACTAGAAGTGATTAATGTTGTAGTTAGTTGTATTTTTGCAGCCATGCAGTCCCTAACTCTGCCTCTGCTTCGTGTTCTCTGCAGTTCACGGTCCACACTAAGAGAGTGCCTTCTGTTAGTGATAATGAATTCTCCCCGTACTCCCTTTCTCCACTCAGCAACAAGAGGTACCAGATAAGCCACTGGATAAGCAGCGTGCGCTTCAGTTTTGTCGTTTTTAATTGGCTCTCTGGTGGTTCTGCAGTCACAAGCTGCTCCGATCACCTCGCAAGCCGGCGCGAAAGATCTCCAAGATTCCCTTCAAAGTGCTGGATGCTCCGGAGCTGCAGGATGACTTCTACCTCAACCTGGTGGACTGGTCCGCAGGAAACCTGCTGAGCGTGGGCCTGGGGGCCTGCGTCTACCTGTGGAGTGCCTGCACCAGCCAGGTGAGACCCACTCCTGAGGCGTTCGGCCCCAGAAACGGACCGATGACTGACTCCATGTTCTTGTCCTGTCAGGTGACCAGGTTGTGTGATCTGTCGGTGGATGGAGACTCCGTCACATCAGTGTGTTGGAATGAGAGGGTGAGGACGTGATGGGGGCAAACCAGTATCTGACTGGGCTGTGGCTGCTGGGGAATAACTGGGAGCAACGTTAACATGGAAGTTGCTGATGTTGTCCACGCTTGGAGGCCGCTCGGTCTGCCGCCTGAAGGGCCGAGGGTGGATGGTTAACGGGCATAACTGATCTAACCGCAGCCGTCTTACCAGACTGGGAAACCTCGGGGTGTTCTCCAGCAAGAGCAGCTTTTAACTTGGAAATAAAAAAGCTTCAAACACAAAGTCGGATGCATTTACAACTCTGGGACTAAACTGCATCACGAAATTTTGCACGACTCCGTTTGTAGTCATGTCAGTATCTTAGACTAGATGACCTGGCTGAACGCGAAACCCCTCTCAGTGACGTTCCAGCGGAGTGTGTGTGTGTCCAGCAGTCACAGCCCAGTTCCAAACACACTTTGTTTAGGTGGACCAAGAGTAACTGTCGCTTGTTGGACTCAACAGGGAGGTCTGGTCGCCGTTGGAACCCACAAGGGTTACGTTCAGATCTGGGATGCAGCCGGAGGGAGGAAGCTGACTTGTCTGGAGGGCCACTCGGCTCGAGTGGGTCAGTCGGTCTGACCTGATCTATCAGAGTTAATCTGATCAGCCAATCAGAATCAGGAGTTGTTTGTTGGTCCAATTGGGCGGTGGTTGTGAATATCAGACCCTCTCCTTGTGTGCGCTGTGGTCCAGGTGCCCTGGCGTGGAACGGCGAGCAGCTGTCGTCCGGGAGTCGGGACAGAGTGATCCTGCAGCGGGACATCCGAACGCCCCCCTCTGCTGAGAGGAGGCTGCAGGGTCACAGACAGGAGGTGTGCGGTCTTAAATGGTCTCCAGACCATCAGCACCTCGCCTCTGGAGGCAACGACAACAAGGTGAGGCAACTTGGGCTCTCTGGAAGTGCTCGCCACGCGTCCAACAGGCCTGACTGTCCTGTCCTCCTGAGCAGCTGCTGGTGTGGAACAGCTCGAGCCTCGTCCCTGTGCAGCAGTACAGCGACCACCTGGCAGCAGTGAAGGCCATCGCCTGGTCGCCCCACCAACACGGACTGCTGGCGTCCGGTGGAGGCACCGCCGACCGTTGCCTGAGGTTCTGGAACACCCTGACGGGTCAGGCGCTGCAGAGCACAGACACCGGTTCCCAGGTGTGCAACCTGGCCTGGTCCAAACATGCCAACGAACTGGTGAGGACACCTCAGGAAACCACCGGGACCACCAGGAGCCTAGCGTAGAATCATCTGAGCCAAAATAAAGAAGGTTCACCTGTTTACCCAGAACCAAGTTGAGCGTTTGTGTTTACTCCGGTTTCTGGCTCCGTAGACCCGCTCCCACACTAGAACGTTTCTCTCCTCCTCGTATTTAACGGGTTGAGTCTGATAGATCCACTGATGCTTCTGCACGTCGAAGTCTTTTAAAAACGCCTCGTCAGGTTATTTTAAAATGTTCCCTTCTGTGTTTCCAGGTGAGCACCCATGGTTACTCTCAGAACCAGATCCTGGTGTGGAAGTACCCGTCGCTAACACAAGTGGCTAAGCTAACTGGACACTCCTACAGAGTCCTGTATCTGGTAGGTATCTGAACGAATATAACCAACCCTGCAGCTCGATGTCACCGAAACACTGAAGCCCCCTTCAGACAGGCCATGAAAAACGGAAATGTTCCGGACTCTGTCCGTAAGACCTTTGTGTCTGAATACAAACATCCGGATAACGTTTTCCGTAATTAAACCGGACGACCCCCCCTAGTAACAGGTCCGGACTTGTTACGGACAGGGTGGCTGCTTCAGACTGGTGAGGTCGAGTTCCAGACGGGGAGGAGGGGGAGGAGGAGGGGACCGGGGGACGCAGTGCGCACCTAGAAAGCTCGCTGCTGTAGCATGCGGCGAACCTTGGCAGCTCGCCTCCTACGGTACCGCCTAGACGCGCGACGGAGCGCTTCACACCGCTTCAGTGATTCCTTTTAACCATGGAGCTTCATCATCCAGGTCTCTTATGCGTCTTCGTGTGCGCAGAATTATGCTTAACATAAGTCCGATCAGTGAGAGGAATTCTATTTCTTCATCTGCCATGTTTGACTGAATGGCTTTGTTTGGTAAATGATGCATGTACGCCCGCTGCACTAGTCCCCCCCCCCCCCCCCCCCCCCCCCCCCCCCCCCCGACATCTGGAACTTGTCCCTGCTGTGTGAAGGCAGCCGAAAGGACGAGTTCCGGTACAAAAGTGGTGTGTCTGAAAACACAGTTCCGGTTAAAACCCGGATTGAATTGTCCACACATATTCCAGAATGTCAATCTGAAAAGAAGCAAATGAAGGCAGGTGCTTCCGATGACATCATCATTAGCTCACCCTGACCCTGTGGTCATCAGTACATCTCAATTTCTCCACAACCTGAAACAAAGCGAGGACTCTTGTCTCAGCTTCTGAATTCCTTTATTCAACAAGAGTGAACACACGTAATTTTTTATGAAACTGCAACAATTTAATATTCCAGTCCGTTTTAAAAGGAAGGAGCACGCAGGGCCGTAACACACACTGAAACACACGCCGTAACACACACCGTAACACACGCTTCTAAACAAAAGGAAAAGATTCAAGCTGACTTAGCAAATCAGAGATCTGTCGGCTAGTGTAAACGCCACACCGCAGCCGTTCCAGAGCCCGGGTCTCGCTGGGCCAGGACGTTTCCAGCATGTCCCAAAATGCTTGTGAGAGTTCCTCATTACTCTGCACGAGTCACATGACCTTTTCTCCTGTAGCTGGAATCCTGAACTCGTCCCAGCGTTCTGCAGCTGAAAAGCGTTTTTGCTTTTTAAAAGCTGCAGAGTCGGAGCGAGCGTCGTCTCCATTTAGTCTCTCTGAGCTGGGAAGTGTGAGACAACTTTAGGAGATGTTGACTACCTCTCAAGATCTGGATTCTACGTCAGCTGGTTCAGAAACATCCAGGTGTTCTACGTTTGTCCTGACCCGATGTCTCCGGCAGCTCCAGGTTCTGGTTCCTGCATCCATAACGAGCTGGTCCCAGGACATGTTTAGAACATCTGGATGTTGCAGCTCTGGGTGTCCAGCTCTACCCAGAACGCGTGAACGTATTTGAGTGAAAACACACCAGCTGGCTTTAATTAGTCGGCTCTGTTCCTTTCTCAGGCCGTGTCCCCCGACGGAGAGGCCATCGTCACCGGAGCTGGAGACGAGACGCTACGTTTCTGGAACGTCTTCAGTAAGACGCGATGCACTAAGGTACCGCAAACACTTCCTGTTTGACAGGAAATCCCCCCAAACCATTACCGTCTGTTACACAAACTAATAGTTTTTAAGTTTGGACTCTTTCACTTCCTTCTCTGCTGCCAGGAATCGAAATCCGTGCTGAATCTGTTCACCAGGATACGGTAGTGAAGCGCTGGGGCGAGGGCCGCTCCAGGATGAACCCGCCGGGTCAGGGCCCAACCGCACAGAATCAACTGACAACACTCCCAGCCGCCTCCATCAGACACTTGACCACAGGACAGAGCCGAAACGTCCCATGATCCTCCACACCGATAAAAAACCAAACACAAGCCTGCTTCTCTTTTCTGTTGTGGATGTGATGACGTTGTTTTATTATGTATTAGCCTTCTGAGCTGCATCATGTCATGTTTTTAATGAGGGGCTCCTTTGTTGGGGGGGGGGGGGGGGGTGATGATTTACATCAACAAGAGGAAAATAAATGAGTATACGAACAGCTGCTCACATCTGCACCTAACATGCCGACTGGTGTTTTGCCTCCTGACCATCATTCACAACACGGGGGACACCCGGACTGAGACCCAGGCGTCTTTCTAAGGCCTAGTCCACACGTAGCCGGGATTTTTAAAAACGAATATCCGCCCCTCCAAAAACTTGCATCCACACCACCTCGTTTTAAAAAACTGTCCACACGTACCCGGATAAATACGTTGTTAAGGACATGCCAGACCTGTAGGCGGCAGTACTTCCCCCGTTCTTAACCTCGTCCTTCGTCTGTGGTCTTCCGCAAGGAGCAGTAATTCCACTTGCAAAAACAAACAAGCAAAAAGCGCTTGGACAGTTGATAAAGCGAGCGCAGCTCTGAGGGCATCCATGCTGTCGGCTAGTGTAAACACAGGTCGCACACGTGATGTCAGCATTTTTTGTCGCGGAAAGTGACGTTGCGGACCTTAAAACTCCGGTTTTGTCTGTCCACACGCAGACACCCAAAACGGAGAAAACGCAGATCTTCACTTTGGCCGGAGTTTTAAAAAAGATCCATTTTCGTGTGGATGACAGGCCAAAACGTGGAAAAATATCTACGTTTTGGCAGATCCCCGGCTACGTGTGGACAGGGCTTGAGATCCACGCAGCGTGTCTCCTCCAGCTCTGAGCTGGACTCTGGTTCAGATTATTCTGTGGAAGTGCTTTTGGGGTTTGAACCTCACTGAAGATCTGCTGGCGTGAACAAAACCCTAAAACTGTGAGACTCCAGAGCCCTGCAGGCCTCGGCAGAGCAGGGAGAACGCCTTCACGCTCTCCTTAATCTCACGCTTGTTTGTTTGTCCCCTGGAAGGAAAAAGACACAAAGATAAAACACTGAAAGATCAACAAACAGCTGAAGGAAAAACTCTTCTTGGAAAACAAGATTTTATAGACGTTAATATCTAACCTGTCATTTCTGAACAATGGTAACAATCAGATTTATTTATAAAGCGCTTTTCAAACAAAGTGCTTTACAAAATGACCCCAGATTCCCATAACAGGTTAAAAACATTAACAGACATATGCAAACACACACACACACACGTAAAAATTATATTTGGCTGAGTCCAGATGAGCCCAGTAAGGTAAAGCAAGGAAACGCCATCAGAGGAGCCGTCTGCCCCGGCATCATCAGGTCTTCCACACTAATGGGCCATTCCCATCTGTACCGGGTCGGCCCGGGCCGGGTAGCCCCAGCCTGGCCCAGTTGATTCCACACACCCTTGTCTTAAGCCCATGTGGGCTGATTCTACCCACCAATCAGAGGCTTGCTCTAATGGAAGGTGTGAATTTGCTGTCAGCAGTGGGCGTGTTGGCCCTGGTCGGCCTGAAGCAGACCCCCTCGAAAAGAGGGCTGAGAATGAGCCTTGGTTGGCCCGGAAAAATACCAGGCCACCCAGATATGTAAACAACCTACGCTACCCGGCCCGGGCCGACCCGGTACAGATGGGAATGACCCAATAGACCCCCACCTCCACTTAAACACTGCCTGTAGAGCGCCCTGGAAGCTACAGTCAACCACCGCCCCCGGGGCAGAGGGCCCCTACAGAGGAAACACTGGATTAAAATGAGTAAAAATATAATAAAAGAGCTAATATAAGGGACAAAATTTAGAAAATAAGTAATAAATAAAATCATATAGATGGTAAAATAATATTAAATAGTGAAACTGTGTGTAAATCATATAAAATATGCAAAGCAAGCAATAAAATATAACCATGTAAAACGAGAAATAAAACTAGTAAATATTTAGATAAAAGCTATTCTAAATAGGTGGGTCTTGAGCCTGGACTTAAAAACATGAACGTTCTCTGCGGCCCTGAGGTCCTCCGGCAGCTCGTTCCAGAGGCGAGGTCGTAATACTGGAAGGACGCCTCGCCGTGAGTGTGTGTCCTGACTTTAGGGATGACCAGGAGACGCCTGCCAGAGGAGCGCAGAAGCCGTGAGGGTTCATATGGTAAAAGCAGTTCTGGGAGATAAGAAGGCCCAAGACCGTTAAGACACTTAAAAACCATTAGAAGAACCTTAAAATGGATCCTGAAATATACGGGGAGCCAATGCAATGATTCTAAAACTGGTGTCATGTGCTCCCGCCTCCTGGTCTTCATCAGGACACGTGCTGCTGAATTTTGTAGAAGTTGTAAGCCTGAGATGCTCTTTTTAGGAAGACATGGGTAGGAATCTTTGGTGTCTAACATGCATGCAGGAAAACAGCTGTGGTCAAATATTATTCAGTTTATATGAACATAGGATGCTCCGGTGTCAGGAAGGGCAGCAAAGACACTCGCTTCCTAAAAACCCTTCAGGGACACACTGATGTCCTTCTAAAGGAACCTGGAGCTCTCTCATATTCTGGATCTGAAGGACAGGTGAGCGTTCCCATCAGTCCTTTTTTCTTCTGATATTTTGTGTGTGTGTGTGTGTGTGTACATGCATGCATGTTTATGTTTATTCATTTGGCAGACGCTTTTATCCAAAGCGACTTACAATTTATAACCTATAGGGCATGTTGTGATCTGTGGGGGAAACCGGAGTACCCAGAGGAAACCCACGCATGCATGGGGAGAACACGCAGAAAGGCCGCAGCCGAGTTTCGAACCTGCGACCTTCGTGCTGCGAGGCAACAGTGCTAACCACTGCACCACCGTGCAGCATGTATGTTGCAACCTCAAAAGTTGCTCAGTGTATACGTGCATGCATGTGTGTGTGCGCGCATGTGTTGCTACCTCAGGATTTGCTGAGTGAAGGTGAGTTTCTGCTCTGAGGTAACGTGAACTGAGGGGAACCCTGGGGCCTGCAGGCTCTCCTCCAGCCACTCACACAGCCGGGATGGACAGAGTCTGTTCAAACCCAGAAGGACATCGGAGAACTGCTCCATCGGGCTGCTGGAGGAGCCGCCTCCGATCGCCTGGAAACATAAACGGCAGCGACAAAACATCAGAGGACAGCGAGCTGCAATTTAGTCATTCAAAGGGTTTTCTACTGGTTCACCTGGAGAAGCGTCTCCGTCAGCAGCTTTCCGTCCCGCTGCAACACTTCATCAAGTACAGGCATGTCCTTACAGCGGCTCAGGAACTCTGTCTGAGGGGGAAATGTCAGAAACCAACATCTTTCAGGGGGTGACTTTATGTGAGGAAATGTTGCCCAGTTCTCTCCCAGCTTACAAAAAAGAAGCAGGCAGCTTTTACTGTGGGTGTCTCTGGGAAATTCATGGATAAAATCCCTAAAACAATCAGGAAAAAAAAGAAATAGTTGTAAATGGCTGATTCATCTGCGTCATATACAGTCAAATGATTTAAAAAAAGCATTAAACTTCAGGTCTGACATCCAATGGATTTCTGAGTAATTCTTCTATTTATGTTTCTGGTACCAGCATGTAGTGCACAGTTAACTCCGGTTGTAGCTAGGTTGCTACGTCCGTTAGCTTAGCTCCCACCTCCGCGTTACGCTGGGGACACACTGGCCGCGGAAGCGCCGCGAAGCGCCGAGAAGCGAATCGCTCACGAAATTCGGCCGCTGCTCGCCGCTCCTCAGTTCAGATCAGACGCGCCCCAGTCGAGGCGCGCCTCGGCTCAGCTGTAGTTTTTCTTTTAAACACTTGGTGTCCTCCATTTCCTCTCTGCCTTTTCTCAGCTCTTTTCCTCTACGTTTGAGTGTTTGTGCGCGCGCGTACGTGTGTGTGTGAAATAATATTATAAATAAATATTTTCCTTGAACGTGGACACACCTTGTGTGTGTGTGTGTGTGTGTGTGTGTGTGTGTGTGTGTGTGTGTGTGTGTGTGTGTGTGTGTGTGTGTGTGTGTGTGTGTGTGTGTACCTATGGTATGAGTTGTTTCTGCCAGTTGAATCTCTTGGAACCCGCTCCAATTCTGCAGCTGTATCCTAGCAGTTTCTTCAGAAATGGGTACATAAATAATCATGTTTTTCGGGGGTCGTACAGCTCCTTGTGTTTCTCAACTTCCATAATTAATTTAAAGTCATCCATCTTAACTGCTTGCCTCAGACTTTCTGCCTCTCTGTCCTGTTTGCTCCGTGAAAAGACACCCAAAACCACACCCCCCTTCACGCGGTCACACACGCACACAAGTTCGATGTTTGTATGTGTGTGTGTTCGTGTGGTTTTTCTGCAGTGTCTGATTACGAACACATTTGATTGCGTAATTTTATTTTGAAATGCTTTATTTTGTTAACTTTACCGGCCTGCCTCTTATGTCTAGGTTTGACTTCCTGCCAGAATTGACGCGATTCACCCGCGGCTCGCGAAAAAACTAGGGCCGACGCCGAAATGATCGCTGCACGACGCGAGCTGGAGCGCCGGCGCGAGGCGATTCGCGGCGCTTCGGCGGCCCATGTGGTCTATAGAATAGCTTAACAAGGGCGCCGAATGAAGGCAGTCCCATTTTCGCAGCGCTTCGCGGCGCTTCCGCGGCCAGTGTGTCCCCGGCGTTAGCTTTGGGTTAGCTTCAGGTTAGCTAGTAGCTAGTTCGACCGGGTGTCGTCAGTTGATCCCAGCCTTACAGCCCCACCCTCAGCTCCACCTCTCTTCCCTTTTGTGGAATTGTCTGGGCTTGACGGAACCTGTGACACGGTCAAAATGGCGGTGGTGGCCACCTCCCATTTTTCTTCAAAAACGTGTTATTGGAGTCTATGGAAACCCATTGTCCATATATGTATATGTCGATGGTTGAGACTCACCACAGAAAAACAGGGCTTTAACATCTAACTGGTCCGACTGGTACAGATCTGGACGCCGCCTGAGAATCTAACAGGCAGGGAGACACACGTTAGCTGGACTGAATGGAGCTGAGAGTGAAGAAGGCTGTGTCCGACCAGACCTGAGCGTGGAGATGCATGAAAGATTCAGCTACATCCGGATGCTCTCTGGGCTCTGCAAAACACACACACACACACTAGTCAGCCCTCGTCCATTCAGATTTTTACCCAGATGAAACAAACTCCCTGGTAAGGTCTGTTCAGGGGTTCTGGAGAGGAGGGTATGTTGGATTGTTGAACCTCAGATTCAGGAGGAGCAATGTGGTTCTCGTCCTGGCCGTGGAACACTGGACCAGCTCTATACCCTTAGGGGGATCCTGGAGGGTGCGTGGGAATTTGCCCAACCAGTCTACATGTGTTTTGTGGATTTGGAGAAGGCGTTTGACCGCATCCCTCAGGGGGCCCTGTGGGGGGTACTCGGGGAGTATGAGGTACCAGGCCCTCTGATACGGGCTGTTAGGTCCCTGTATGACCAGTGTCAGAGCTTGGTCCACATTGCCGGCAGTAAGTCGGGCTCGTTCCCAGTGAGAGTTGGACTACGCCAAGGCTGCCCTTTGTCACCGATTCTGTTCATAACCTTTATGGACAGGATTTCTAGGCGCAGCCAAGGTGTGGAGGGCATCCGTTGTGGTGGCCTGAGGATCAGGTCTCTGCTTTTTGCAGATGATGTGGTCCTGTTGGCTTCATCAGAACGTGAACTCTGGCTCCCATTGAAGCGGTTCACAGCCAAGTGTGAAGCAGCTGGGATGAGAATCAGCTCCTCTAAATCCGAGACCATGGTCTTGATTCAGAAAAGGGTAGAATGCCTTCTCCGGGTCAGGGATGAGGTCCTGCCCCAAGTGGAGGAGTTTAAGTATCTCGGGGTCTTGTTCAGGAGTGAGGGAAAACTGGAACACAAGATCGATAGGCGGACTGGTGCTGCGGCTGCAGTGATGTGGGTGTTGTACCGATCTGTCTTGTTGAAGAGAGAGCTGATTTACCGGTCGATTTACGTTCCTACCCTCACCTATGGTCACGAGGGTTGGGTAGTGATGAAAGAATGATATCACAGTTACCAGCGGCCAAAGTGAGTTTTCTCTGCATGGTGGCTGGGTTCTCCCTTAGAGATATGGTGAGAAGCTTGGTCATCCGGGAGGGGCTCAAGGTAGATCCGCTGCTCCTCCACATCGAGAGGAGCCAATTGAGGTGGCTTGGGCATCTGATTAAGATGCCTTCTGGATGCCTCCCTGGTGAGGTTTTCCGCGCACGTCCAACCGGGAGGAGACCCAAAGAAAGACCCAGGATACGCTGGAGGGACTATGTCTTTTGGCTGGCCAGGAAACACCGTGGGATTCCCCCGGAAGGGCTGGCCATTTAGCTGAGGAGAGGGATGATTGGGCCTCTCAACTTAGGCTGCTGCCCCTGTGACCCGACTCTGGATAAGCACAAGAAAATGGACTGCATCATCTTCAAAAAGTAGAGACCAGGGGTCTCATTTATCAAACTTTGCGTAGAATCCTTACTAAAATCGTACTTAAGCTCAGCAAAAAAAAATGTACTTAGACCAAGCAGGTTAGTGATCTATCAAACATGGAGTACGCACAGCTGCACGCAATCTCCGCCTCGTAAATCGGAGACTAACGAGAATGTTTCTCAGCTGCATTTTAGTCACATCCCGCCCTCACCACGCCCACTTACTGCCATAAATGGTCGATGCAAAGTGCCTTGTGGATCTCATGCATATACATAAGCCGGCTATTGCAGCGCTCCGCCAATGACGATGGCGACTGTAGACCAAGGAAGATCAAGGAAGCGTAATTTCACAGAAGCAGAAATTGAGGTACCTGTGGGTGAGGTGGAGAAATGAAAGGAAGTGCTTTTGCAAAACAAACAAGAGAAAATCCACGGAGTGGCACAGCGTTGCTGAAGCCGTCAATGTTGTGAGTTCTTCAGAGAGATCTGTGGTGGATATGAAAAAATGGTCCAATCAGGATTCGATCCCCAGACTCCCAGGCGAAAGTCAGGCACACTAAGCCTAGTCCACACGTAGCCGGGTTTTTTTAAAAACGAATATCCGCCCCTCCAAAAACTTGCATCCACACCACCTCGTTTTAAAAAGAAACTCTGTCCACACGTACCCGAATAAATACGTTGTTAAGGACATGCCAAACCTGTAGGCGGCAGTACTTCCCCCGTTCTTAACCTCGTCCTTCGTGTGTGGTCTTCCGCAAGGAGCAGTAATTCCGCTTGCAAAAACAAACAAGCAAAAAGCGCTTGGACAATTGATAAAGCGAGCGCAGCTCTGAGGGCATCCATGCTGTCGGCTAGTGTAAACACAGGTCGCACACGTGATGTCAGCATTTTTTTGTATCGGAAAGTGACGTTGCGGACCTTAAAACTCCGGTTTTGTCTGTCCACACGCAGACACCCAAAACGGAGAAAACGCAGATCTTCACTTTGGCCGGAGTTTTTAAAAAGATCCGTTTTCGTCTGGATGACTGGCCAAAAGGTAGAAAAATATCTACGTTTTGGCAGATCCCCGGCTACATGTGGACAGGGCCTAACCAGTCACCCAAATAGAGATCTCCCCTGTACAAGTAGCCAGGGTGCATGATCAATCGGGTCACAGTGACAGGACACACACACTGTCACTGACGCATGACATTCTGTCTCAAGTGATAATGTTGCAGGATTTCGTAATTGTATCCTTCTCAGCAGCAGCACTGCAGGTGCTCTCCATGTGCGTAAGCCAGGTCCTTAGTCACAATCATGTTGCACACATTTTTCCACTAAGTTTTCTTTCATAAATCCCAAAGTTTGCGTGGAAAGTTGCTTACGCAGTTCTCCGACCCTGTTTTGTGCGTAAGCAAGCTTGATAAATGAGGCCCCTGGTCCTTAGGCCACCAAAACAGATCCCCTCAACACCTTGGCTGCTCCCAGAAATCCTGTCCATAAAAGTTTTGAAGTTATGAAGGAGGGGAGAATGACTGGGCTAGTTAAAAATAGCTTTTTCCCACCTATCTAACTGCAAAATGTCAAAAGGCAAAATTTTAATTTTGGGTGGAATATCCCTTTAAAATGACTGTGAATGGGAAATTAGAAGAGGTTGCTAAACTCAGAAAGCCATTTTTTGAACAAGGTATTTAATTCATTTCTAAAAATGTCTTACAACATTATTAAAGAAAGACTAGGCTGTTTAGGCTTGTTCTACCACCCCCCTAGTGTCCGTTTAGTGGAACTGAAAGCAAGCATCTCCTTTCTGTGCATTTGTCTTTTCAACACTTTAATCTAACAGCTGAAATGTCTCCCAGCATTCCTAAGTTTCTACAGGAGTGATTCATCTCTAAATTACACAAATCAGCTGTGTTGATGCAGGAAATGTGCTGGAAACAGACGGCAGCGCCAGACACCTCAGCTTCATTTTTCCCTAAGTCCAACAGATCAGACCGGCATGTGAGTGTTTGTTTGTTTTCCTCTGGCCACAGGTGGCGGTGGGGAGTCTGACTGAGATTTCATTAACCCCGTAAAGGCTGATTTTAGCACACACTGGCTCAAGATAAGGATTTAAAAATACAAAAAACTTGCAACGTATTCCTTGAACTGACCAAGCGTGCAGCTGTGCGCACTCTTTGTTTGACAGATCACAAACCTACTTGGCGTAAGTAATTATTTGCTGAGCTTAAGTACGGTTTTAGTACGGATTCTACGCGATGTTTGATAAATGAGACCCCTGTACTGGATTGTTTACTGTGTGAAGTACCTGGACGTGACTCTTGACTTGGCGTTAAATAATAATTTGAGTTGGACTGAAACACCTGAGCAGATCACTTTTCCTTAAACCGTGGTTCAACTGCCGAAAAGCAACATCTGATTTAAGCTGCTGACCGTTCCTGTATTTTAGAGGATTGTTGAGAGACTTAACTTTCCAACTCACACGAGTAACCGCACATCCAGGCGTTTGTCTGTTAGGGATCTCATCAGTCATCACAAGTACATAAAAAACATGAACACAACACGAACGACATCACGTAACAAACCCAAACAGCAAACCCGGTCCCGCGTAGATCCAGTGGAAATCTGAGTGAACTTGCCACGATACGTCCTTAACGTTGGAATGGTACTTGAGCCCATCGTTTCACAACGAGGTGAGTGCACAAGTTCGGACGAGTACACATATTTAGAAACAGCTTCTGAGTTTTTCATGCAGGCTGAACGTGAAAATAGTCTCCTACACCTATCTCCTGCGTTAGCTTCTGATAGAAAAGAGACTCACGACGGGGAACGCCGTTGTTGTCCAGAAAACAGCAGAGAACGTCTCGGCTAGAAGAAGCTTGCTGTTAGCGTTAGCAACTCCACCACACAGCAGAACTCCTCCAGGCTTCTGTTATTTGTGGAGATAAAACAGCAACAGCGCAGAGCAATTGGAGTCAGTGGTGGCCAAATATCAGGAAGTAGGACCCCCCATCCCGCCGTCTGAAGTACTTTCTCCTCGAGCTGACTTGTACTTCCTGAAACAAGCCCATCTGAGCTGTATTTCCCCCAGAGTACAACATACACTGCATTCATTCCTACTAGAGACCACGGCAAATGTATTAAACAAGTAAACAACACCTTTAAAACTAAGATAACAGGTTGAGAGGGATGAAATTATAATTTGGCACCAACGTTATTCCCTAAAGTCCTAAGAAACAATCTCATTTCTGAAACGCTGATCACTAAAGGTCATAAAATATCACTCCTCCACAGTTCTGCTCGGTTTTGTGTGTTTGAGGTCATGTAGACGTTTTTCACCTTGTTGGAAAATGGAGAGCGTGGCTGATGTCATCGCATGGACCAGGCTCCTGATGTTGGAGGTGTGATGTTCCTCTCCAGCAAAGATATGAACCAGCTAGACAAGAGAAACGGGACGTGTTCGTGTTCACAGTGGATCGGTGGGTTTGTTCCGGGTCTCGTACAGACCTGACGTGTCAGGTCCAGAGCAGAGGCTTGTGGGAAGGTGCTGTAGATCTGTCCCAACATCTCACTCAGCTGACCCACCATGGGTCCAAAATCATGGAGGAGAGTTCGAACCGATTTATCAAAGACTCCACACACCGCCTGAGATGGAGCGCAGGGTGAGAGAGTGAGTTCAGACAGAAAAGGAGTGTACTCTTCAGACATTCAGACTCCTACCTCAACCACCTCTGAGTCATGAAGCCACCTGCTGAGGATGTTCTGGACCAGAGCAAAAACCTGCTGCAGCACCACTACGACCTACAAACGAAGCACGGATATCTGGATGAGAACATCTTAACCTTTTACAGTCAAGGTGGTCCATGTCTCTGTGAGATCACCGGGTTTGGTGTGAGCCTGGGACTGGCTGCTCCCTCTGAGCCATCTGAACATCTGCTGGTCTCCAGTGTGCTGAACAGACTGGAGAGCATCCCCAGGATGTGCACAATGTTCTGCTTATTGGTGGGATTGGCCTGAAGGGAGACAGAGAAGAGGTGTTTGGGTAACTGATGAGACATGTCCCCGTGGACAGGACCAGAGAACATCCCGATCTGGACATTTGTGGATGGACAACTAAAACCACACCCATACATGGCAGAAGCTGCCGCGATGCTTCGTTTTAATTACACTTGGAGTGGTTTGCAAATGAAAAAGTAAAAAAGCAAAAACCATTAATTCTTCTGTATGGTTTTCCCTTTTTTTTGAATTGATAAATATATTTTGGGTGGATTTTTACCAAAAACCCTCAAAAACTTTATTTATTTAGATGAAAAAAGAACCTAAGGAAAAATACCTGAGAGTTTCCCAGCGGCACTAACTGAGCCGAAAGTTGTCCAAATGGTCCAAAATGAGGTCCGCCTGGATTTCAATCAGCTAAAACTTCTCTAACTGTTCCATACTTCCTTTGTGTTCATAATCTTTGGGTCTGCAAACGTTCAGACACTATTCTGTGGATTTCTAGATGTTTTCGGCTGCAACTAGGTATTTTAGAAGGAATTTTAACATCGTAAAATGGATTTTTGTTTTTAGGCAGAGCACATTTCTTCTCATTTCTACTGTGTTCCAGATCCAGTTACTCTCAATCAGTGACATAAGTGATGCTTTTTAGATCTTTAGAGTAATCCTGGTTTTCTTACCTTTATTTTGATACCAAAACAGCTCAAATAAACCTGGTAGTTTATGAGATAAACTCAATTCATTTTGGGAACAAACTTCTTCAAGAAAATCTCCAAAAAATGGCCTGGGGTTCAAGAGGTTAGCGTTCTAGCACAGTGTTGTGATTTGTTCAGTGGGGAAAGTTTTCACATGGAGTCTACTTTTTCTAGATGCTTCATGCAGATTTCTGTGATCTTAAGGGGCGTTATGGAAGTGTGACAGCCAAAACAAGTATAGAAATAATAAATGTCTTCTTCATACATTCTCCTGCAATGCCCTGGTCCTGTAGAATGAGCCCTGGCATTTTTACTGTGATTGCCTGTTTTTCTGTAAAATCACAGAAAAAGAGAGCTGCTCGGGTCGAGCAGGCTGCTTCATGCGCGTTCACGCTCAGGCATCGCCCGTAGCATTTGCTATCCGTAGCTTTAGCAGCAGAGAGAGAGGCAGTGCCACTTTGTCGCTGTTCCTAACGCCTAGTGACAAAGCTAGCTACATTTCTGAGGACCCTTAGCTACTTTCTGTAGAACTTTCTTCTAGATATTTCCTGCAAATTAGCAACAAAATAGCCATTTTCACTCCGAACCGTTCTTTGAACGTTGTTTCAGCTGTCATCAAGGATATAAATGTTACAGATACCAAAGACATCATTGGCGCTTTAGCTCACCTAGTTAGTTGT